TAGTTGCGTCCTTGTTCCTAGTAGTAAGGCCAGGAGCCCCTAGTAGCATCCTTGCTCCTAGTAGCGTTGCCCTTTGCCCCTAGTAGCGTCCTTGTTCCGAGTAGTAAGGCCAGGAGCCCCTAGTAGCGTCCTTGCTCCCAGTAGCGATGCCCTTTGCTTCTAGTAGCGTCCTTGTTCCTAGTAGTAGCCACTACTAGCGTTCTTGCTCCTAGCAGCCATGCCCTTTGCTCCTAGTAGCGTCCTTGTTCCTAGTAGTAAGGCCAGGAGCCCCTAGTAGCTTTCTAGCTCCTAGTAGCGATGCCCTTTGCTCCTAGTAGCATCCTTGCTCCTAGTGGTAAGGCCAGGAGCCCCTAGTAGTGTTCTTGTTCCTAGTAGCAATGCTCTTTGCTCCTAGTAGCGTCCTTGCTCCTAGTAGTAAGGCCAGGAGCCCCTAGTAGCAATCTTGCTCCTAGTAGCGATGCCCTTTGCTCCTAGTAGTGTCCTTCTTCCTAGTAGTAAGGCCAGGAGCCCCTAGTAGTGTGTTCCTACTAGTGAGGCAAGGAGCCCCTAGTAGCATCCTTGCTCCTAGCAGCGGCGGATTTGCTCCTAGTAGCGTCCTGGTTCCTAGTAGTAAGGACACGAGCCCCTAGTAGCGTTCTAGCTCCTAGTAGCGATGCCCTTTGCTCCTAGTAGCGTCCTTGCTCCTAGTAGTAAGGCCCGGAGCCCCTAGTAGCGTTCTTGTTCCTAGTAGTAAGGCCAGGAGCCTCTAGTAGCGTTCTTGCTCCTAGTAGCGATGCCCTTTGCTCCTAGTAGCGTCCTTGCTGCTAGTAGTAAGGACAGGGGCCCCTAGTTAGTAGCGTTCTTGCTTCCAGGAGCCCCTAGTGTTCTTATGCGTTCTTGCTCCTAGTAGCGATGCCCTTTGCTCCTAGGTCCTAGTAGCGTCCTCGTTCCTAGAAGTAAGGACAGGTGCCCCTAGTAGCGTCCTTGCTCCTAGTAGTAGAAGGCCAGGAGCCTCCAGCAGCGTTCTTGCTCCTAGTAGCGATACCGCGTCCTTGTTCCTAGTAGTATGGCCAGGAGCCCGTAGTAGCGTCCTTGCTCCTAGTAGCGATGCCCTTTGCTCCTAGTAGCGTCCTTGTTCCTAGTAGTATGGCCAGGAGCCCCTAGTAGCGTCCTTGTTCCTAGCAGTAAGGCAAGGAGCCCCTAGTAGCGTTCTTGCTCCTAGTAGCGATGCCCTTTGCTCCTAGTAGCGTCCTCGCTCCTAGTAGTATGGCCAGGTGCCCCTAGTAGCGTTCTTGCTCCTAGTAGCGATGCCCTTTGCTCCTGGTAGCGTTCTTGTTCCTAGTAGTAAGGCCAGGAGCTAGTAGTTTCCTGGTTCCCAGCAGTAAGGTCAGGAGCCCCCAGTAGCGTTCTTGCTCCTAGTAGCGTTCTTGTTCCTCTAGTAGTAAGGCCAGGAGTCCCTAGTAGCGTCCTTGTTCTTCGTAAGGCCAGGAGCCCCTAGTAGCGTTCTTGTTCCTAGTAGTAAGGCCAGGAGCCCCTAGTTGCGTTCTTGCTCCTAGTAGTAAGGCCAGGAGCCCCTAGTAGCGTCCTTGTTTCTAGTAGTAAGGCCAGGAGCCCCTGGTAGCGTTCTTGTTCCTAGTAGTATGGCCAGGAGCCCCTAGTAGCGTCATTGTTCCTAGTGGTAAGCGTTCTTGCTCCTAGTAGTAAGGAGAAACCGTCCAAGAATGCCCTTGAACTTTTGAAGCGGCCAAACAGCAGGTCTCTCTTGAAATCTCTTGACTACATGATCACCAACTCAATACTTCTCAACTCTAACACGCCTCTCTTGCAATATATAAGTAGGTTGAAGGATTGATTTGATGTATGTATCTGGTTTTACTGCTTCAGTTGCACCTGCCTATGAGTACACGCACACATATACTGCAAATAGGATCAAATAGGTACCAAACAAAAGCTCTTTCACCCCCAATAGAATTGGCTTTTGTCCTTGATGAACCTCCGCAAACGCTCGTCTTGATTTTACAGGCCTCCCTCTGTGAGCCGCTTGGCCACATTGAAGTCCAACAAACGCAAGTCTGACAAGCATACCTTGTACCGAGGGCTGGAGATTGAGCAATCTTCCATCTGTCTACGCGTTCCCTCCTCCCTTCAGCTGTTTCTCTGTCTCTAATTGTTGCCTTCAAGTTGTGCTCCTGAAGCACAAGCAACTAGCTTTCGCAGTGTGCCGAAGGGCTGGAAAGCTTGCCTATGAAACTGTTGAAACAAACATCTAACAATTTAACAGCACACCGAACGCACTGAAACTGCCGTCAAGAAGCCGAAACCATCACGTTGGAAGGCTTTACATCCCGGTGGATGATGCGACTTGTATGCAAGTAGCCTTACATGCGACGTGAAGTCTTGTCTTTCCTCGTTCAATCAGGTCTCTCTCAAGTTGCATTGACAATCCTTGACATGGATTTGTCAACAAGGCGATCTTGACTGCTCTAAGTGTTGCCGGCCTTCTAGAAACTTATGACCTTCCCAATCGTAGCAGCTTATGCTTGGAATTTGTGGTCCTTTTGGAGCCAAGGAACACACAGCCGACAGCAAAGACCGGAAGAGTTCTCTGGAAGTAAGCTCGGGAAGGTGCCCCTGGGCTGCTTGGCGCACCGCGTCCTGTCAGAAGAATGCGCAAATGGCTCTTTCAGGCTTCGTCACAATACACCTGCTTAAACATGGCCATCTCTTAGAATAAGGTCCACGTTGCTTCTCCAGGTTTCAGGCGAATGTATGTAACTGTATGTAAATATATGTACATGTATGTATATGTATGTGTATGTATATATATATATATATATGTATGTGTAGGTGTATGTATGTGTATGTATATATATGTATGTATGTGTATGTATGTATATGTATGTGTAGGTGTATGTATGTGTATGTGTATGTATGTGTATGTATATATATATTATATGTATATGTGTCTGTATATGTATGTATGTGTATGTATGTGTATGTATATGTATGTGTGTGTATGTATGTACGTATGTATGTATGGATGTATGCATGCATGCATGGATGCAAATAATAAATACACAATGTACAATAACGCAATTACATATACCACGACCACTATCTGCTGAATTTGTCATCACTTCTTGGCATTTGCGGTATGTATAAAGTAGTATAAATGTATACCAGTCCTGTTCTTTACTTGCTAGACTATCTGACTGGCTGCTGTGGAGCATTGCTGCCAAAGGGTTTCAGGTTCGAACATTTGGAGTCTTGGAGGTAAAGAATCTCCAGAACGAGAGGTTGCTTAAACCCTCTAATCTTAAACATAGTGCAAATGAATGATCCACATACTGTGTAGATATATACTTAACATTACTTAGCCGCACATCAATTACATAATTAATTAAACGGCATTACATGGGAAGCATATGTAAGCAGCAAAAAACGCGTCGTTGGACTGCTGCCTCCATCGTGCTCCCAGCAAAGTACTCCAGAACCTTGGCAGCTAACAGACTCTACAGCAGTCCCACAGGGACGCTCTGTCCGGAAAAACTGCACTAACCGATGGCTAGTGCAAAGCGCACCGAAATGAGGGAGTGCAAATAAGTGATGAGAATGTACAGCAAGTATTGTCCGTCCCTGTTGGGCGCTGATTTTTCGGATCCTGATGCATTCGCACTTGTCAGTCTCAGGTCTCAGGCCAAGGCTAAAATGGAACTCACTGATGTTTCAAAGTAGTCAAAAGAGCTGATGATGTTGCGGTGCTTGATCGACCTCAACAGCGGAGCACATCAAGTTTATGTAGTCCACTATTCAGAGTCCATGCAACCCATATCCCAAAACGGGTCGAGGCTTAGCAACGTCTGATCTCAAAGCTCTCTGCCACGCGGCTGCAGCATCTTGAATTCAGCCTCAACTAAGGATGACTTGTCTTTGCTACCTGAGCGGGAAACAAAAGCCTTTGAACATGGCTTCTCTAGGTTAAAATCAGCTGGAATGTGCAAGACACCCTTCTGTTTAATCGCAAGAATTTTCTACAAGTATATGCTGTCAAGCCAGCAAATACTGCCAGTACCAAGGAAGGCACCAGCAATCTTCAATGAAACGACGAGGCCATCCTTTTTCCGGACTGCTTTCCTGCAATGTGTTTTAACTACGTTATCTTTAAATGTACAGCAACGGAGCATTGCAACAGAACACATCTGCAGCTTGTCATGACAAGCACAGCAACAAGTGTCCTCACAGTCGAAATGGAGCCACGACCTAGCTGCTCGAGCATGTCATAGTGCTCGTGGGCATCAACGAAGGTCTCCGTGGTTTCCTGGGCCCCGCTCTGAGACTGTCGGACTTAAGGTGGAAACATGCTAAGGGGGTTGAAAACGCATGGACACACCATTCGGGACATGCAGGCACGCTCTTCTGCTAAAGTAGGCATGACAAACGGACCCAGCCTACATTGCTAGTGCAAAGACCTGTTGAGCCCTTTGCACAAATTTGATGTGAACCAAAACATCAGTCAAAGACACGTACAGCTTTCAAGACCTCTCACGCACAGCTCAAAGTAACAACGTTTAGACTTGGACAGAAACAGATATAAGCGTTGCAAGGGGGCCAAGGCAGCCATGTATAATAGAAGCACGACAGGCTTTTGCAAACTATGTGTAAACATATGTATACATATTTATATGTATGTAAATACTAATGTAATATATATATATACCCATTAATTACTTGTATGTACTCATTGGCTCTGGGTCGGAGGAGTTTCATTGAGTTGCTTGGCATCCAAGTGACCTCAACGACCTTGTTGCAATCCTTGGTTGCTTTCCAGTGACACAGGTTAGATCAGTGCGGGTCCCTGCAGCACCCTGCCAATTGTTCCTCTGTTTGAGACTCAATCCAACCCAGGCGCCATACCTAAATTCATGCCACTGCCCTTGGCGCGCAGGTGTAGCCGTGAAGTACCACGCTTCAGCACCACATCTGGGAGATGCCGCGCCAAGGGCCAAGGGCATTGAAGGATATGAAGTCTGGGATCATGGATGAACAAGTACAACCAATACAAAGCCACAAGAGATACAGGGAATATAACGTGATTATCGTGAGTCTTACTTGGTCCCTCTTCCATCTTCCGCCAGGGCTTTCCATTTAGTCCTTCATCGAATCTCTCTGCAATATTCTACAATCCTAAATATTTTGTAAGAAACCATCCTTTTGATCCAACTTCTGGAGCTTTGTTCTATCCCACAACCGAACGCACACAAAGTGTGTGGGCCTGGTCGCTGGGCATTCCTGCAATCGAATCAGAATCTTAGAATCTGTGAAATTTACATGAATTAGCTCCTTGGCGACTCCAGCGACAAACCACACGAAACACCATGGACTTGTTCGAGCTGTGAAGTGCAAAAACTCAATTGTCATAGCCGGCTCTGTGTATTGGTATACATGTATAAATATACACACATATATACACGGAAAAAGAAAACACACTTTACACCACTTTACACGCTTAGGTAGTTCACCTGCACAGCTGAAGGCGTTGACAGCTGTCACATGCCGCACATGGACGGCCGTGCACTCCGTCCTTTCACGGCCTTCATCATCTGCCAGGCACTCCGTGTCAGTGACCGTGAGCTGGGGCGAGCGGATGGGCGGCAAAGGAAAACTTACCATCCTTGTAATGTGCAACACTTCACACACACAGGATAGAAGTATGTACGATATGAATGCTACATGCCACACGCAATCTGGGTATGAAAACCTAAGAGTCCAGGGGTATGAAAACGTATGCGTCCTAGAAGTAGTAGTAGGGTCATGTCAAAACAAAAAAACTGCGGTACTTATGATATCTTCTGATTATATATATACTCTGAAGGAGGGTTTGCGCATCAGAGAGGGCAGCACATCCCAAAGAGGAATTTGCTGACAGACTGAAGGAAGGAGCAAAGTCCAGCAACAGGAGGCTGATGCTCGTGACACTCATTCCCGAGCAGTGAAAGAAAATAAACAACACTTGACAGCCAAGAAGGCAAAGACCGGCAACACTCTGCAAACCTCCAAGTACGAATGGTACGAGGTAGCTCTAGGCCTTTTTGCAAGCTGTTTTGCGCTGTGGGCACGGTGGGAAGAGAAGAGAACGCGAGAGGCAGGAACAAAAATGCAATGTTCGACATGGTGATTTATCCCCTCGGAGGCGACCTGTCGTAAAAATATATGCATATGCACTCTAAATGTTGAAACATATGCTCTCGAAATATTCAAAAAGATTCTGAGGAAAACAAACTTGCCCCATGGCTCAGATCATCGGTGAGCATTGAATCGGAGCATCATAGGATTTGAACTATCCTGAAACCATAAGAGGCTCACGAAGACGTTTCGCAGGAGAGAATTGACGTGCTTCACAAAACAAACTCTAGGTATGTATCCCCATCGGGGAACACCTTTCGTGATTAGAATGTCATATGCACTCTTTCTGAATGTTCAAGAGGGTTTCAACTATCCTGAAATCATGAGAGGCTCGCGAAGACGTTCTCCAGGAGAGAATTTAATTTAAAGGGGGGGGGGGTTTTTTGTGGAAAAAACAGGGGGGGGGGTTGAATTGAGTGATCAATTATTAGACCCGGACGCGCCAACACTTGCTTCGTAAGACAAACTCAAGGTATCCCCTAAAGGGCTACCTTTCGTGACCAGGGCGATTAAGCGCTGGGCTCAGGGATAAATGCCGAAAGTGGCACTTAAGAAGGCGCAGGAAGCGGAAAAAAGGAAGCAAGGAGGATCGACGCCGAGGTGAGAGGCGTCCTAGAATACAGAGTGGAGAGGCATCTGGCGAAAGTGAAAGCCTCAAATCCTCCAACACACACACACACTTGTATGCAATTGCATGTCCACATCCGTACGTTCACAGACTTGAGTGACAGAGTTTGAGGCTGCTCTCTCTCTCTCTCTCTCCCTGAGGGTTCTCCTCAACATCAATGATATGGAAACCCACTTACAGTAACCTAAAAGTGCATTGTCATTGGGCGTGAGACTCCCGAAACTTCCACGATTGCCTGCCGCACTGGAGGTTCTTTCTCGCGAGCTTCCCGACCTTGGCTGCTGGAGACCAAGTCAGGTTCTGTATCAACATCTCTCAGTGTTTCTAACGGTCCACACCCAGGCTCTAGCTGCCTAGTTCATCTCCTTAACTGTAGGGGATTGAACCATGGCCAGCCTGTCCACCGGTCCGTGTTGCACGGGTAGTGCTCCACCCGGGTCCAAAGCATAAGGGACGAGTCAGTCCGCCACTGTCCGACCATACCGTCCCTTTGTTTGACCTCCTACATATTTGCAAATGAGCTCCATTCGTTGAGCTTGAATATGTGGAGGTAGCAAACTACGTAGTATTTCAGATTAAAAAAATCAACCATTTTATGGTACATCCTTCGAAGCTTTCAGGCAAGCCACTCTTGGATGCCATTCGCCTTGGATGGCTAAACAACTATCTGATTGAAAGTGTCTGATGGTGTTAAAGTGCACTCTCATGCTCTCCCAGATTTGAATCTTGAATGTGCCCATGGCATTAGCGACCGGGATGTCATTAGCGCAACTCAAGCGTCCGCGGAGGAGGCTCCTCGATGTTGCCCTGTGCCAATGCAAACAATGAAAAGTACTCAAGACAAACAAACCAACCAAACAAACATCAACGCTTCTTCTGATGCATGTATGTCCCAGTCTCAGTCCCTGGGTATATGTTAAAGTCTCAGTGAGTTGGCTGCTTGCTCCCTTCATATACTCTTTCAAAAGGCCACCGCACGCCTCTGACGATCCTATTCCTGAGTGATGTTGCCAGGGAAACATAATGCTTCTGAAGGACAGACCTGCCTGTCGTAGGTGTTCTACCCAAAAGAACTTTAGGGTGCAAAACTTCCGTGTTATGGACTTTCAATAGCTCTATGTCTAGTTAGCTCTTGTTCCAGGTAGCTCTTCAACATGCATTTTGGAAGGAAGTCTCGTACAAAATGTTTTTTTCAACAGCTCTAGCTCTAGTTAGCTCTTGTTCCAGTTAGCTCTTCAACATGTATTTTGGAAGGAAGTCTCGTACAAAATGCGTCTTTCAACAGCTCTAGCTCTAGTTAGCTCTAGTTCCAGTCAGCTCTTCAACATGCATTTTGGAGGGAAGTCTCGTACAAAATGAGCTTTCGAGAGATCGCGGACGCACGAAATGCTGTGTTTTTGAATACAAAGGATTGCTCCGAACCTGGCAAGTCAAGCTCTGCATGGCACTTTCATGTCTGGTTGGATCATGCCTTCCAGTTACATTTTTGGAAGGAAGTCTCGCAGAATGGCTTCGTTTTGCAGGTGCTCAACATGCACTTTGGAAGGAAGTCTCGTACAAAATGCATTTTCGAGAGGTAGCAGACGCACGAAATGCTGCGTTTTTCAATACAAAGGGTGGCTCCGAACCTGGCAAGTCAAGCTCTGCGGAACGACGGTTGCGGAACGTCCTCGCGTCATGCCCGGATCATTCTCGGATCATGCTCGAATCGTCCCTCCATTGTAACTAGAGTTTTCACCTGTTTCTTGTGTACGTGCTGTTGATGGAATTCCATTGCGTTTTGATGCGTTTTGCAACTCCTGGATGGTTTCCGCACTGTGCGGTGGTGTGACCAGCCGGGAAATGCTCCTATGTCCGTCGTTGAGAACCGCATAAACAGCTGCTACCGCGCAGGACTCTTTGCACTGTGTGGAAAAAACGATGTGGTGAGTCGGTGACGCATCGGCTGTGCTCTTGGACTTCTGTGCGTTGCTGTGACCACCGATGAAAAGCAAAAGAAAAAACCACTGCATGTATAGTGCCAGAGCGACTACGCCGTTGTGGGCTGCTTGCATGACGCCATCGTTGCGGGCTGGGAGAAAAGGGGGTCCGCAGGGCATGTGCGAAGGGACACTCCTTTGGGTCAAATTGTTTTTATAGGAAACTTCCGCCGCCGGCTTGCCAGGGAACTGCTTGTATTGATGGCATTGCAACCATTTATCACCAACACCTTCAAGCGGCTCTTACATGGCCTTGTGCAGTATCAAAGTGGAAACTCAAACGCACAAAATCAATAAAATTATGTAAAATTCAATAAATATCAGCTCTGCAGCTCTGCCTCCGTTCTTTGAGACTTTTTAAACACCATCTTGCAGCTCTGCGTCTCATTTCGATCGTGCTTTTCCTGTCGAGTGGTCCGAGATATCTACAGTACATGTGCACATGATAAATAACATCTTGCACACACGCACACAAGCACACGCCAACAAATATATATGTATTATATATAAATAAATATATATATCGTTATATATCCACATCATTCCACATTACATTTAACAGCCGCCATCATCAGCATGCCTTCAGCTTGCTGAAAGTCGACCCCTAAATTTGTGTTATGCCCTTCTGCATGACACGGAAAAGGCAAACACCAAAACTTAGTGGCGACAAGAAATTGCCTCACAGGCTAACCCTAGCGATCCGAAGGGTGAGATTGAAGAGAGGCTTTACATGTTTATGCACAAACCAAATGCTTGAGTGCACAAAGCACAAACTCTTGAGGGATCTGTCAACTGAACAGTGCCTTTTTGATGCCTTTTGCATCCGAATCCTGCCCCCTTCCCTCCTGTATTTGGGCGAGTCAATGATGCGGCCCTTGGAGCTGCTTCTCCTCATACGCTTCACGAGTTCATGTAGCCCGGCGCTTTCTTTCCCTATGCCTATATATGCCGACATACACTAGTCATCACTAGCTCAAGAAAAGAGAACCTTGTTCTGTTCTTGTTCCAAGTATTCTTGCATGCAAACATGAAAAGTCCCCCTCGTCCAGCATCGTTCACAGGCCAAGCTACTCAGAGATTTGGGATATATTCCTCGGCAAAAGCAGATCTGACAGGATAAGCACCCGAATACCCAACAAACATATGCCATCATCTAGCAACAAGTCTTGTGGTCAAAAGCAACAAAAAAGGATGAATTTTGGCCCCTCTCTGGAAAAGCAAATCTCAGTTCCACATCTAAGATGCGTGATGTTCTTCCCACGGTTCTTTCTGCCACGGTCTAAGCTACACCAATTTTTTATCATCCGAGGTACAAACCAATCAGCATTCGGTTCTCTTCGTTGGAAGAAGACTTCGATGCCCTTCGGTTGCCTCGGGTAGAGCCCGGTCGCATCAGGATCAAGGGAAGGAAACACGACTCTCCTGGTAAGATTTGTAACATATTGGATAAAAGCTGCAGCAAGCAAAGCCAACACGCAAATGCGGCCTTTCCTCACCTCACAGTTCTACGACTGATCCTGACTCATGGCTGGGCCTTTCGAGGGCCATGCCATTCACACCCATTTTCAATCTATGTTTCAATATGTTCAATTCAATGATTCAAGTCCATTCAAGACGACTCAATCGATGGAGGGGAATTCGCCTCCAGGGCCCGTGTCACAGCAGCCTCTAGGAAAAGATTCTGATCCTCTTCAGTCCGGGCCTGGCGCCAGTGCCAGTATTGCAGGTTCAACATCCGATAACCATCACGCTGAAGCAACCGATGCTTCATATGCCTTGAGGTTGGCCAGCTGACGATGTCAAGATCCACAGCGATTTTGGTATCCTCGTCGAACATGTCCACCCGATATGGTCCACACCCGGCGTTCCTTTGCATCTGCAATTCCCGTTTCATTCCTTTGGTGGAGGCCCGCAATTGATTGAAACGCATCATCACTTCGTTGTGTAGCTTGGAATTCTCCAAGCGGTCCATTTCCATCTTGTCACAATCTTCACAGGCGGCCTTCCAGGGCGCGGGAACCTTTATGTCCAGATCTGCATAATCCATCTCCAGTGCACAACAAATATCAAACAACTTCAATAGTGGCTCACGATTTTGCGGTGTATTTCTCTCGAAGACCTCTCCCAAGGCACCTGTAAAGTGCTCCTGGAACTGGCCGACGAGGTCAAGGGCCGCCAAGGCCCAAACAAAGTCAATCAAGGAGTTGGTGCTTCTATTCTGAAAGCCCATCCTACCAGCCTCAGCATAACGACTTGCAGGTTCCTGGGCCGTTTCGATGTGATTTCTTGCATTCACCATGGCTAAGGCGAACAGAAACTCTGAGATCTGGGACGCAACCAGCTCGGTGATCTTAGGCCCGAGGGTTTTCACCAACTGATCCTGAGCTTGTCTGAACGCTTCCGACAACTTTGATCGGTTCGATCCTGGATACTGTCCTACTATGATAGATCATGATAGATCGATCAAATCAAACAATCACAATGAGACCTCATTCATTGCCTACTCACACAAACACACCACGCCGCGTCACACACTCCCAACCGCTCCCAATGTTCTACATCTAGAGTCTAGAAGCATCTAGAAACCCCCATCCGTCCAGAAAAAAACATGCTAAAAATAAAACACTTCTTGGCAAATCCGGGTCATCCAAGTCTTTGGCCTCCAAGATCCGCAGTCTGGCCATGGCATAGCTCATTGTGGCCAGTTGCTTCATCGAGAACTGCTCGAGGTTCTCAAATGCCAAAGCTCGGAGCCGGCTGAGCAGAAACCTCCGAGCCAAGCCCAAACGGCTGATGACGGCCACCGCATCCACCAGGTCTCGTGTGGTGAAGCGGTCCACCTCATCCGACATGCGCTCCACCAAGAAGTCGATCAGCTCTCGATCAAACACACCCCATCTTCGGAAGGCCTCGAGAAGGATGTTGCAGTGAGCTGGTTCGAGATCGTCGATTCGCTTCAGCACCTCCTTCCGAAGGAACTCGATAGTGGGTGCATCGCGAACGCCTCGCATGGACAAGGCCATGGCTACAGTGGCCAAATTCCGTGGACTTAAAGTGCCCCCGCGCTGGCACACCACTTCAGCCAAGCGTTGGGCCAAATCAGAGAGCTCAGGGGTTGAAGTGCGGCTGCATCGCGCGGCCGCATCAGAGATCTTGGCAAGCATTGTGGCATCACAATCCTCCAATCTGTTTGCCAGTGTGCTCAGGATGGCATGAAAGCGATCATCTTGAAGGAAGTCTGCTTGATTGCCTCTTTGAAGCCTCGCTAGAGAGCGCAAGGACGTCTCATAGGTCCTGATGTCGGCGTCACTATGCTGGCTCATGTAATCCAACACGTCCATAGGGTTGGTCATCTTCTGCAGGGTCAGGCAATAATTTCTGGCGAAACTGCAAGCAGTAACGCAGATTACACTGTATATTATGTAATAACGAAATATAACGAACGATGTGAAACGTTGATTAATTGCAAAATACCAAAATGACGTGATGCGCTTAAACAGTAAATTAAACCAGTAAGAGTATGAAGTCCCTAAACACCTAAGCTATAGATCATGATAGGTCAAATCATGTTCCCATCGACAGGCCTGCACCGAAACAATATGATCTTTGCTGTCCACATAGGCTCGCCGGCCGAACCGCCAAGGCTCACAACGGCGTAGCCGCGCTAGACCTACACCCGCTCGCATGGGGTATAACCTGTCCGGAAACCTCCTCACGCTGCACACAGCATTGGTGTGTTGAGCCTGGTCTCAAACATCATGCAAGTCACCGTGTTCAATAAAGGCGCTGAATCTACCCCGGAGTTCTGAGGCAACATCAGGCCAGCGGTCCTCTGCAAACCAGCGCAGAAGAACTGAAGAATTGTATTGAGAAAACTTATTGTGCAAATTGAAGCACCCCCCCAATAAAAACACTTGCACGAAATCCGGTGATGTGTAAGTGTTGGTCGTCACAGCACATTCAAGTGCCAGAACAAGAGGACCGATCAAGATTCGAATCATGATACTGCAGCATCAACGATGGAAAAGCAAAATGCTTCAAACGTTGCTACAAGTTTCTCGTGGCAACCGGGCATTCTACATCCATGATCACCCATGTGCCCTACCAGACCAGTGAGATGCAGCACTTACCCACAGTGGTCAACGATTGGCCACTGCGAAACTGCTACATTCACCAGGGACCGCCCGTGTGCTTCAATGCCTCCTGTATATGCTCCAAACTCCAAACAATCCATGACTCAATCCATGTTATTTGTTTTTAGCCGGGGTGTAGGCCTAAGTAGGTAAGCTCCTAGCAAGTAGTGCTACTAGGCTAGGACGCAGAACGGCTCAGGCTTAATGATTTGGTTCCTAGTATTTTTTGGAACCTTAACTCTGAATGTGGCTGGTAGCCCGGCTCCGAACTACACAGTTGTTTGCACACTTGAAGCTGAACCAAGGTACCATGGCGACGCGCTGGCACTTTGATTCCGCTGAGCTTGACCTGATGCACCAGCCAGACTTCTGTGACGTCTGGGATGGGTCATTTTCCATAGCAACACAACATGCCTAACATGCTGATGTGCAAAAATGAGAGGCCTTAGTGGCATGGACGTCCCTGAAACTGCTATTGCACAAAGAACGGAGAGAACGGAGGTGACGCTTCTCTTGTCCCATTCGCTCCGATGCCCACGGGTGCCCACTCACATGAACATAGTGGATAAACTACTTGATAGAGTACTACTTGAAGATACCAGCATCTCAGCGGGCCTGTTGCTTGATTGAACAACCTTGAACCTTTGGTAGATGTTGCCAGTGTGACAGCACAAGCACAGCTTCTGACAACACTGCGGTGAAGGCCTCCATGTTCTTCTTCAGCTTCAGAGTGAGTGTCTCTACTCGATCCTGAGATCGAATGCGGAAAAACTGAATTCCACGTGATCTTTGACAACAGTTCTGCACGTGCATTTTAAACCCCCTCTGAGCAACACTCCCATACAAAACTTCTTCTTGGGCTAAAGGGTGAGAAGGCATGTTCTAGAAGCAGGTTTCTGCTGCAGGAAGGGCTGGTTGTTCATCACCATTCTGAGTATCAGTGGACGGTGCAAGTCTTCCAAGTTTGACACAAAGCCACTTGGCAAAGTGGTTCCTCTTCATGAATCAGTCAGACTTTAGTTACTGCGCTTTGCCAATCACCACCCGGGCCAAAATTTATGACTTATGTTCGGCAATTTGCTGGGTGAGATTTCTGCTGGATTGCAAGGCGGCATTCGAGAATTAACTTTGTTGTGAACCGCGCTGTGCGCTGACGAGTGAGGCACAGTAAGTTGAAATGAGCCTGGGAGAAAATAGGTTGGGGCTGTGATGGGTTGGTACATGACCATGATGCACGTGAAAGCCGTGTAATAAAGCACAGCTACTAGCACAGCTGTATGAGAGTCTATGATCAAGTGATCAAGTCCAATTCCGCGAAAACCGAAAACCGTCTACAAACATAGAAAGACGAGGCCGAGCTGCTGTACGGCTGGCGGCTTTGGAGCTCATCCGCTGCAAAAACTCTGATAAAGACCTCCCAGTCCAGTTGCGAGTTTACTTAAAGGAAAAAGCATATATATATACAGAAGGGGTGGCCATGGGGCCTGGGTTTTGGTTTTCCATAAATGTTCATAAATATTAGGTAAATGCATCAGTGCCACAATCAAAACCAAAAAACACTGATAAATATGCATAAAGGATAAAAACCAAAAAAGAACTAAAAGAGCCTTAAGAAAACAAAAAACAAAAAAGAACAATTCTGGGAGACTCTTGGCTGGACCCCCAAAATCAGAAAAACAAAAAAAACAAAAAACCTTGGGAAAACCAAAAAAAACAAAAAACCAAAAAAAACAATTCTCAGAGACTCTTGGCTGGACCCCCTTTTCCTCAAGACTTCCCCAGAATTGTTTTTTTTTGTTTTTTAGTTTTTTTTGGTTTTCCCAAGGTTTTTTTGGTTTTCTGATTCTTCTGATTTTGGGGGGTCCAAGCAAGAGTCTCTCAGAATGTTTTTTTTGTTTTCTCAAGGTTTTTTGGTTTAGCATCTGAGCTTACTTCTCACCTCAAGGCATCTGTTCTTTTTGCTTACATCTGAAACCGTCTGAGCTCAACACTTCCTTTGCCCTTGTCCAAATCTCCATATACAAGTCTGAGTGCATTAACTGCTGACTGGTATCAATGCGGTTGCCACTTGCATTTCCAAACAGCTTGACATGCAGTTGCGAGGACACTCTGTCCTTTACATGAAACGGTTGGAAATCTTTGCGAGCGTACTTCTGTGCTTGTAGCTCAAGCGTTTACATCTTATTCTGGCGAACTTCTAATTTTAACTTCAATTCCTTTCTAATTCAACTCTCATCTAATGTCAATTAGGCTATAGTTATAGTTCAATACAAGTTTAGTTAAAATTCGGTTTTGATTCAGTTCTATCTTAGCTCTAACTCAAATCCAATTTAATTCTACCTAATTCTATTCTAGCTCTAGTCTATTTAGTTTAAGAGAACACATGCTACAAAACCCCGTGCTTTACAGTATTTTTTGCTGTGGAAGTGCTGGGAACAAGACTAAAACTCTTTTTTGGAGTAAATAGTTAGATTTATTTATTGTCAGTAATCATTGGAGATAATATATACATATTAAACATGTTGTATGTACAAGCTTCTAATTCAAGAGCTTCCCTCTAGATCTCTGGGGATGATCATTTCTACAATAAAACTATATATAAGCTTTCATTTCAAAAGCATTCCCCTGGATCTCTGGAAATGGTCATGTCAATTTAAACATGCTATATATCAATAAATAAGTCTTTCTTTCAAGAGCTTTCCTTTCATGAAAACACATATATACATATATATATATATGTGGGATATCTACTTTCCCAGAGATCCTGAGGAAAGCTTTGAAAATGCAAGCTCTTGCCCGCAGAAATCTAGAAGAAAGCTTTTAACATACAAGGTTTCTATATAGTTGTTTAAATCTAAACATGATTATCTGCAGAGATCTATAGGGAATCTTTTATAACATAAAAGCGTCTATATACAATCTTTCCAAATCTAAATATAATTATAAGCAAAGATCTAGAGGACAATTGTTAAAACGACCACTTTTATGGCCTGCTTCTTTTCTAATTATCTTGTTCAAAACCATCTGAATGATTGATTGCTGCTTCCAAAACAATAAAATTACCCTGACTCAGGAATACATAATATTTTTGTTCGTATAGAGTGAGAGCAAGAATAGATATGTTTATATGGAGAGGGGCTGCCACTGAAGCATTTACCTAAAATTTGGGGAAAACCAAAACCCAGGCCCCATGACCACCCGCTCTCTATATATACATATATAACTATATAGTATACTCGTGCGAATAAGCAAGAACAAATGAATCAACTAAAACTTACTAATAATACGTACACTCAATAGAACAAGACTGTTCATAGTTGTTTTTCCAGCCCTCCAATCTGATCCGCCTTGTGAAGGTTTCTTTGGTCTATGTCTATGTCAAACTCTGCGGGGGTTCATGTGCAGCCCTAAAGTTAAGACTAACATGGACTGTGGTAGGCTAATGCCAAGCAACATTTGCCAGAAAAGAGAGGACCAAAAGAAAGTAAAGGGCGCTTTAGCAAGACCTTGTTTTTCAGCTCCTGGCGGACAAGGTGCCCTTGCTCTCCACAATCCTCCGTGAGATCCAGCAAATTGGTGACGTTTGCCATCGACGATACTGCCTGACCACAACTGAGGTACAATTCGTGCCACCTGGTTTCTCCAACAAAGCTCCTTGTAGCGTCCATTGCTCCTACTAGTAGGGCCAGGAGCCCCTAGTAGCGTCCTTGCTCCTAGTAGTAGGGCCAGGAGCCCCTAGTAGCGAAAAGGAACTAAAGTAATCAACTTCAATATCTCAAACATGAGATGATGCGAGACGATTGCCCGTTGCGTTTACAGCCGTAGAATGCGCCGGAAAGTGTGTCATGTTGTCGCAAGACCGAATCGGACCAGTAAACAGCTAGTGCTTGCTGACAAAACGTTGTTTTGTGTGTTGTGAAAGTTCCCAACACTTCGAAGCGTCAAGATAAAACATCGACCAATACGAGCAACGGTCAAATCCTTCTGTACTTACTGCTGAGGTCATTGAGAGAGTGGTATGTTTTTGTTGGGTGGTTTATTGTTTTATATCGTTTTCCAACTAGTGCCCTCTGTTTGCGTCACTGCCGGTCAAGTTGTGCTTGTGGGCTTCCCAATGCTGCCACTACTGAATGAACAACTTACCCCAAACAACTGACGTCCCTCATTTCTTTCTCACTCAGCAGGCTCAGCACTACTCTGCTCATCAAAGCTACAAAGGATTTTTGTTTCAGTGCGCAACCGCGACTCTTCCCTTATTCTCTTGCCCGTTCTCGGTGTTCCGGCTCGGGTAACTGCGGTACTTCTTTGGGGCATTCCTTGCTGGAGTTGTGTCTTGGACACTATGCGTATGGGGGCATCAACAGAAACACACGGTCCCAGAAATCAACAAAACAACATCTACGCAAGATCTACAATAGATATACGATATATGATATAACAATAAACAAAAAGGACAAAAGAGTTTTTTTAGAACAAAAAGGAGCCAACTAAGCAGTAGCGTTCCCTGTGAAATTAGTAACATAAGTAGGAATCAAGATGGAACCAACAAAGAAAAAACGAAGCAGCAGCAGCAGCAGCAGCAGCAAGTAGCAGCAACAGTAGCAAAGCAGTAGAAGTCGTAGTTTTACAGGAGCCCGTGCAGTAGTAGGAGCACGTTGGAGCACGCACGCGTAGGACGGGTAGAAGAAGTCAGAAGTGTTGCTAGTGGTGGTTGTGGCGGTGGTGCTAAATGTTGGCCTTCGTCTGATGTTCGAATGTAGGGTGTGATTGGTCTAACCGTACCACAATGTAGCACCAGCGAACTGTAGCACGTCCATGTGGAACCTCGCAGACCCTGTAACAGCAAAATCAATGCATTGGATGCGGCTATGAGTGCCTATCATCTACAATTTTTGGCATGTAGCACCGGAGGTTATACATGTATGTGCAGGTGTTTGCAAGGAAGCAAAAAAAGAAGCATTGGACGGAGGGCCCTATTCACCCTCTATCTAAAACGTGAGCAGGTCAAGCTTCCCTAAAAATCTAGAAACCAAAGCATTAGTGCAAGCGCTTCTAGGGCGGCGGGGGCGGCTTCCTTGAAGAAGCGTGAGCTATCCCGCGTCCTGCTAGTACTAGCTTACTTGTACGTAGGTACTAGCTACCTAGCTAACCTACCTCACCTCTACTAGCGGCCTACCCCCCCAAGAAAATCCGCCGACCCCACACCGTGGGGTGAGGCGTGACTGTCGATGTTAGCCTTAGGCCTTAGCCTTAGCCTTAGTCCTTAGCCTTAGACCTAGTCCTTAGCCTTGGACCTAGACCTAGACCTTACCTCCCCTACCCCTCCGGACCCTTGTTGCAGTTACGAAATCGTGCCCTGAAAGCTACCTGACCGACCCGGGAATTGTCCAAGATTCTGCCATCCCAATTGATTTACATCTTGGGGCACCCTCTCGACCCGCGCGGGAAAATAAGCACGGTCCAAAATGGTCCTGGGCTCGAATCCCGGGCTGGTCGCGGCATGGTCCCGGCCAATGCCCTTGCTTTTTCGTAGATTTTGTCACGTTTTCTGTTGGTTTATGAGATTTTCAAAGGCTTTTCTGGCATTTTCCTAGGAATGCTCTAGGCTTTGTCTTTTTGGGTACCTGCTTTGGTGGTGCTGGGTTGGGTCTAAATTGGTAAACCTGGGAGGTACCCAAAAAGTCGACTTTTTGGGTACCTGCTTTGGTGGTGAAGGGTTGGGTCTAAATTCTTGGGCAATGATCGGGGTTCATGCAAGAGCTGACGTCCGATGGTAAATCTGGGAGGTACCCAAAAAGTCGACTTTTTGGGTACCTGCTTTGGTCGTGCTGGGTTGGGTCTGCACTCTTGAGGCTAAGGCTAAGGCTTAAGGCTAAGGCTAACATAGAGCAAGGCTAGCGCTAAGGTTCTATCCCTTGGGGGTCGGGTCGGCGGCTGCAGGCGGTAGCCTGGTAAATATACGGCAGGCTATGCATTCAGGCTCAGGTTGTGTTTCGGCTGCTTCAGACACCTCAAGATGCAAGTGTTGATTGTCCGCTCATATCTTTAAACATCCGAAGCTCAACAAATGCGCGTATCATCGCGTATCTATAGACAATACGTGGTCCGGAAGGTCAATGGAGCTTGGCAAAGTGCTGACTAGCAAGTGCAAATGTCTGAGACTGAGAGAACTTGCTCTGGCCTCACCGCTGTTCGGAGAGACTGCCCAGCAACGAATGTCTCCTTCATCGTTGCCTTGGAAAATTTCCAAGGCCACAGCTTCAGTAGTTTGCAGCCCCTCCTGACATCTCCTGACCCAGTTGTTCCCAGACTGCACCGCGTGCAGCCCGTGCGTTCTTGATCTGCTGCTATTGCTCGGTAGGATGTGCAAAGCAGCATGATGAAAAACATGCAAACACATAATTCAGCTCTACTACATGTGTGCACATTTGTATAGAATAGAATAGCAAAGGGGAGGTGGTATTTGGTGTTGAGGCCCCCCCTGTACTCTGAACCAAGCCAGGCATCAAATACAGGAAGCATCCTCAGCTTTGGGTTTGCAGATGTTTGCAGGGTCCAACAGTGTCATTTCTTTCAGTTTGCCAAGTAAGAACGCAAGTGGCTACAAATATCTACAAATCCATTCATGAGGCAATTTTCCCTAGTTAAGTAACCACATGCTTCATGCTAGTCTCTTGTCACCCAAATTCTCAAAAAGCTATTTGCAGTGACTAGGGATCTTTGACATACCAGTTGGCAGTCGATACTTTACCATTGCCATAGCCCATGCCGAGCATCGAATATACTCGAAAGCATGCCTAGCAGCAGGACAAGCGCTGAGCCCATCTGAAAGTTTGAGGGTCAGGCTCTTGCGAACTCAAGTCATGTTTTGGGAACCTATAGTTGGTCCCTAGTCACTCTGCATTCTTCCCTTGCTACACGTGTTGTGAGTTGAGCAGCAGCCTCAAACCAAGGCAAAGGAGACTTTGGGCCCTCCTGTCGTGGGACATTGAGCATGGCCTTGCAAAGAGCAATGCATAGTCTCCATGTACTTCTGCTCCAGGGCCAGCTTGCTAAGCACATTAAAACTCCTGGACCAGCTGGCACCGCCCCACTAGTGTAGTGGAAACGAATTGGCTGCTTTCCAGGCAGCAGCAGAACTTTCCATAACAACTTGAGAACAACGGGGGTGCACGAAGGCTAGGGCCAAAGAATCAACGATGCGTAGCTGTAACGGCTAGCTTAATGTTCTCTCGTCGATGCCCTACTCACAAAGGTGACTTGCCTTTGTAGTAAAAACAACGATGGGGGTGGGTCGGTGATATCGCTGTGTTGGCCTCAGGCCTCCCCTGGCTTGGAGCAAGAACACACGATTGGCTAGCTATCCCGGATATCCCTGGCTGCTGCCTATTTTTCGTGCCTTATGCAGCCAAGTATCTCAAGTTCAGCTTCATCCACCAATATGTAAACCGTCAATGCACCTGAATGGATATAGCTGGCTCTTCAGATTCCAGAAGCCGGCACTCTGGAGTCGACAAGTCATTTTAAAAGCATAGTTTAGCTCATTTCTTCAAACAATGGTTGGTTTACGACGAATGAGCGGCACTTTACACTTGATCTCCTTGTACATCTGTGTGCTCCAAGAACTCCAGCAAGCAGCTTTGATGGCATCTGCCAAGGAGCCCAAACAATGCATCGTCCCCAGTGCCAGCAAATGAAAAGTGAAGCTACCATGAAACAATAGCCAGCATAGGAGATGCAAGGGGCAAGCCTCGGCCGGCGGCCGATCTGTCATTCTTTTCTGGCCATATTCCGCCCCACGTCACATTCCAATCTTTCAGCAAACGCTAGAATGTCAACTCTGGATAATATACTCACACGCATGATCTTAGCACTTTCAAGGCTATTTCCACCACATGCAGCAATTATATAGAATGTGATGGATCTGGCTGGCAATTCCATTTCGCTCCTCTCTCAGCAACTTTTTCTTCTGGGCACAGTTTAGCCAATCCCTGTCCACTCAAGATGTGCGACTACCTCGAGAGACTTTGCCGTGTGCGGTTGGAGATCAAAGCACTTGATCTCTTCGAGTTTGTATCCACGTGATGTCAGGTAAGCCAAGTCTCGCAGGAGCGCTCGCCCACTGCTGATGTAGACAACCCGAGCCACCTCTAGGTCAAGCAAGTGTCGCCGAAATGGCTTGGGCATGCCATTGCGCCCAGGGTCAACTAAAAGGATTTGAGGTGCTGGCAAGGAGGCAGGAACTTTCTCCTGGAAGGGTGTGTCATGGAAGGGTATGTCAGCTTCTTCCACCTCATCCTCGAAATTCAAGTCGGCCTCATGTGCCTCGTCGGCCTCATCCAACTCTCCTTCGCCATAACAATCATCACTGGATCATCACACCAAACACCTTTTGAAACTCTTCAACTTCAACCACTATAGGGCGAGTACCCATCACATTGGCTGGCGACTTAAGGCACCTAAAGTCTATTAAGTTATAGGCTGAAGCGCCTGGAACAACATCGTTTTAAGTTTAAGATGGGTTTAGGATGAAGTGTCTTCACCTTTTCGTTGCATGCACCTGGTCCTTTTCGATGTTGGTCTGGGAGCGCGGCGGTCAGCCGGTGCAAATACGCAGGAATTCCCAAGTCGCCGTGCAAGACCTCTGCGGAGCTCGCGTGGCCCCACTCGGCCAAATTCTGCTGGAGCTTCTGAAGCGCTGGCAGCGACCGGTCGATGCACACCATCTGAAGGTCCCGATGCATTTGCAAGAAAGCTGAAGTAAAAAGCCCTTGACCGCAGAAGGTGTCCTTGGCTTCAACTGACTCAAAGCAAGTGGTTCTCCATGCGTGTCAAGTCATGTCAAATGGACTCTGGTATATCTAGTAACTTACTTTTGCTGCAAACGTCACATGCTAGCAGCAGGAACAAAGGGGAAAACCAAGGTAACAACACAAGGATTGAACTTCATTACCGAAGTTGTCACATCTGTGTGGTCTCAATGCATGAGGGACCATGTCGAGATACAACTAATCAGTGGACTATAAAACAATAGGGCATCGCACATCTAAACACAATGTTGGGGCGAGGCGGGGCAGCTTGAACGGGGCCGACGAATTCCCTGCTGGTGATCCAAGCAGCCCAGACTACATCGCCAGGTTGAACAGCGCTCATCTCCAAGACCGTTTGAATCAAGGTCTCCGCTAGGAATATGTTCGGCCGGAAGAAAGCTTCGGAGGAGATCTTTAGCTTCATCCCCTCCAGTGTCAACGGAGCGCATGACGGGTGATTTGGCATGTCACACAGGCAAGTCTTTGGGTTGAACACCAAAATCTTTTCAATATGCACAATATTCAATATGCATTCTCGTATCGGGCATTTAGGTTTATAGACCGGTCAATGCAGTGAACAAGTCTCACTGACAGCTTAAGCATGGCGTCTGCCAATGCACACCGACGGGATAGCTTCAAGCCAAGTTGCCACTACATCATGCATCAAATAGGACCTTCCGGCCAGCACTTTGTGACTTTGCTGTCCGACGCTGCGCCAGCCAGGGGATTTCAAGCTTTCCTCACCCTCCGTTGACCATGTCACTCCCACCAGTCGTGGAGCATTTTGCATGGCCACCACTGCTACACGGTTCAAGACTTCACGAGGGGGCTCCCCAACAGTTACCAAGGTGGCCAAAGATTCCACCAGTCCTGCGGCGTGAGCTGAGCGAAGCACCACATGGCGCAACCACCCACGGCCGGTCCGTTCATCAAAGGGTGTGCACTTGGCAGCTCGCAAAGCAGTCAGCAAAGCCTGAAAGGCTTCATGTGCAGCTTCTGGGTGTAAATGACATCGGGACAAAGGGACGGGCACCGGACTGCCTTCTGGATGAAGACCCATCTGCAAGCCATCCCGAAGAAAAACGCGAAACTCCGTGCGCGCATGCCAGCCAAAAGGAGGACTTGGTACTGGTGGATCAACGGGAGCCCTTGGTACTTGGACTTCGTACTCCTTCAATCGCATTTTCAGAAGCTCGAACTTCTCTCGCAATTGAGCCTCGTACTTCCTCGTTTGCAAGAGGTGTTGAGTCACCCAGTCAACCAATGCCCACTTGTGAAATGCAGAGCACACTAGCTTTAGACAAACCATCGACAACATAGCACTATTAATAAGGGACTGAGACAACAAGCGTCAAATTTTGAAAGGAGCAACCACCACATTTCTCTGCAAAGTGCTGGCACCGTGGCGTCACCTCCTCAATTGAAGCAGAGCAGCGCTCATCAATTGCAAGATGAAAATTTGCAATCTCTTTCTTTTTCAAGCGATTCTTGGTCACGTGGGTGACGATCAAGTTGAGTTTCTCTCCCGGCAGTGCACGTGCAAAGCTAAACTCATAGTTTTGTTTGTCCCTGCGCACGTGCAAGTGGATGGTCCCGTGGCCGTTCTCATCAACACCTGCCACTGGCACACCGCGAATCACCTGGTCACGTCCTTTGATGGAATTGATCACGAAGGTCTCTTCATGTACAAAGCCTTGCAAGGCCTCACAGGCTGGCAATTCTGGGGGGCAGGCGTGGCGAGGCCAGGGCTTGATGATACTCACCGGAGATTGCCCAAACCATCGAAAACCCATGAGGTAAGCTGTTTTCAGAAAGGTCACACCTTACCGCCCTTGAACAAACTTTATAATGTTTAAATAAATATATATATATATACAACACTTAAAGGTTTAGAAGGTCATTAGAAAGGATGATTGACTAGTAAGCAGCTTTTCCCTGCTAATGCCCCAAGTAGATCCAAATATATAGTTCCATGCAAATGCGTGGCCACAAAGGGGACAGAACCGCCGTCACTACACCACAACAGTTCTCAACCCTTTTAGCACCGGTACTGCGAGCAACACGTTATTCCGGGTAATTTGCTCCTCTTATGCATCTTTTTGCTTTGTTCATCCTTTCCAGATTTTATCATTCCCAATTTGCATGCCTTGTAAACAATGTGGACATGTGATGCAGGACTATCTGTCTAGAGTCTACAGTTTACTGTTTAATTACTGGTTCAGGTATACAAAACCTAATGCTCTTGTCACAATCCAAGTTCAAACGATACACAAACGCACAGGTGGTGAGGCCCAGTGCGAATGTGAATGAATGGCAATGCGGCGCTGCGAGCGGACTAGCGGAGCTTTGGCTGTTGGCGCTTTGGGCGTGGTGTGGCGCCGTTGGGGGGGATCTTGTGCAGGGGGTCTCGTGAAGCATCATGGGAGGCAGTTTCTCAAACACGGGTTGGAGAGCCTGAGGTGTGTATATAAGCCCTATAACCCCTACCTCCTGCCCAACCCTAAAGGTGAATTGGTGCGGCAAAAAATACCCTTTCTATACCAGGGATCCCCACCACTCCCGCTGTATAGACCCATCCATAGAAGGTACATCCAGGCACTGGGCCACCGAAGGGGTCTCGTGAAGGAGATCTCGAGGAGGAGGAGGACTGATGAATTGGGGTCTCGCTTCGCATCCCCGATCGTATTTTCCTCCCCGCGAAATGCACGCACGGGCGCAACACAAACATATGCCATATGCAAATTAAGATTCAAACGTGCCCGCGCACACACACACAATGCCATGAAGGATTTCGGCTAGCAGCTGTTGCAAAAGATCGCTGCCCCAATGTCCTCCAGCAAACAAGCTTCTGTGACATTTGGCGGAGCAACCACATTGAACCAGCCCACCATGCTGCAGCAAGGAGAGGTGGCCCCAGTTTCAAGAAGTGCTTTAAATGCAAGCTGGGCTTCAGCTCCAAGGACTTCTTCAAACCATGAGGTGCTATTGACGCATTTGTCTGCACATTTTTCAAGTGGGACAGCTTGCTAGCGTTTGCTAACTGTCTACGTTCAAAGGATCTGGTGAGACCATGGCCAAAGAACATATATGACCCTTCTTCCTGTGTTGCATGTTGTTGAGCATGGCCCTTTGACGTTCTGCCGTGGTTGTGTCACTCATGTTCCTTTGATCTTGCGAAGGCATGCAAGGTCACTCATGGGTCCAGGCCATATGGACAAATCACGTTGTGCTCATTGTGGTAATGCCTCCAAGTAGCAAGTCCAATGAACTGGCCTGCATGCAGTGGCGAGACTCATCGCATGCTAAATTACCAATAGGGCACCCACCCTCTTTCTGTAAGTATGCAACAGCCGTGCACGCAAACCTCCCCAAACCACTGGCGAACCGGCCTGAATGCTCTCCAAGATCCCTTCGTGCTTCACATGGGGTGTTGAGAAATGCAAAGGACATTGAACAACTGAAGCTAATCCGGGGAGGACCCACAATAAAAACACATATAATACTATATAATATATTGTAATACGTTTAATGTATACATAAGAAAACATGCAATATGACAATACGCACAGCAATTAGCAGAGTACAATGCAGACAAACAAAGTTGCAGAAAGCACGTTGACATGCAATGACGAGACTAGACCAGGTATGCGTTGCTAACCAGCATTGGCCCTCCCATAGTCCTAGCTGGAGGTGCAAAAATGACAAGCTCAACCCTACGTACCAGCAGCATCCCTTCCTCGGGCTTTCTCGAGCTGCCTGGCGGCACGTAGCCGATGGTACTGAAGATCAGGAAGCAGGGAATCGCGGTGCTCATGAAAAAGTGTTGCTTTGCAAGCTCCTCAGGTTGGATTCGCAGCTAGGCACCTTGCGACCTGGTAAAGCATGGTAAAGCTATATACACCAAACAAGTCCATCCCATGAATAAGAGATTGAAATAGATAATCTTGCCAAAAATCGATGGTACGCACAATGACACAAGTGTCGCACCTATTCAAAGAATGAGGTGGTGACACATGTCACGCGTGGCACACACAAAGTGGCACAAACATTGTATCGAAGGCACCGTGTCCATCTGCAAGGCACTAACCATCAGTACAAACTCTTGCACGGCGAGGAGTACCAGCTGCACACGACCGCTGAACCTCGTTTGCACCGACTTGCTGGGCCATCGCTACTAGGTGGAGGCCATCGCAAGTAGGTTGGAGGCTCATCCGAAAGGCGCCACACGATCACTCGCCCTGGGCGCCCCACGAAGGAGCCACGGACATCGTCCGCCCCAATGATCCGAAGAAAAAACTCTGGGCCAATAGGGCACCTCAGTGGGCTGCTTGGCCCCGAGTCGTTATGAAAAGGTTGAATAGAATATGAAAAGGTTTGAAAGTACCTTAGCATCCTTTGCTCATATCTTTTTCCTCTTTGTTGCATTCAACCTATGTATGTATATGAATATTTATATGTATATGTATATGTATGTAATGTACTATGGCGGACTGACAGTTAGAATACGTTTTTTTGTTTATATGCAGTTAGAATGTGGTTTTACATAAAGCCTGGGGGAGGCTGGAGACCACATGCAGTTAGAATATAAAGACATCGCTCTTAGGTTGGAGGCCATCGCTCTTAGGTTGGAGGCCATTGCTCTTAGGCTGGAGGCCATTGCATTGCTATTAGGTTGGAGGCCATCGCTCATAAGTTGGAGGCTATTGCTATTACTGTAGGTTGGTTGGAGGCCATCGGTCTTAAGCTGGAGGCCATCGCTCGCCATCGCTATTAGGAGGCCATCGCTATCAGGTTTGGAGGCCTAGCTTTGTCTCTGCAAGGTATCCTGGTTTTGGACTGGCAGTTCGAATATGTTGGAGGCCATCGCTCTTAGGTTGGAGGCCATTGCTCTTAGGCTGGAGGCCATTGCATTGCTATTAGGTTGGAGGCCATCGCTCTTAAGTTGGAGACCATCGTTCTTAGGTTGGAGGCCATCGCTCTTAGGGTGGAGGCAGTTGCCATTGCTATTAGGTTGGAGGCCATCTCTCTTAAGTTGGAGGCTATTACTGCCATCGGTCTTAAGCTGGGCCATCGGTCAAAAGCTGGAGGCCATCGCTCGCCATCGCTATTAGGGGGCCATCGCTATTAGGTTTGGAGGCCTAGCTTTGTCTCTGCAAGGTATCCTGGTTTTGGACTGGCAGTTAGAATATGTTTCCCTGCTTTCTGAAAGGTCCATATTCTATCTGCGAGGGTCATCCCCAGGGTCATCGATGTTGAAAGGATTGGGGTATCCATTTAAATCGGAAATATTTGGATTCCATATTCTAACTGTCTGTCCTACATTGTAATGTAATGTGATGTGATGTAATGTAATGTATGCATGCATAGGGCCATCCAAGAAGTCACCTGGCAGGACTACTTCACTGGACCTTCATTGGGCACCTTAGGTCGTCCTGGGAATTCCTGGCATCAGTGTTTGTCTTGAGCGAAGCTGGGTAAAAATTCGCAGCTCCCACACCTCTTTTTTTCCGCCTTCATTCATCGGACATATTTTTGTCAGACTGTTACTTGCCTCTGAAAGCCAAGCCACTACACGTCGTGAGAAGTCCTGAGTTACAGCCGTCTTGACATATATCGCCATTATATTGCTAAAACACAAAGTCGAACGTGCATATATAAACATCCCTACGTAGTATTTGCATGTATTGGCGAAACGTTGCTTGCTGTGGTAACATCTACTGGCATGCACTGAGACTAGTTTGTGCTTTTGAATGGCATAGGGGTTGTGTCAGATGAGACTTTGTTTCCCAACCGCTGCGATCACCATTAACTAGACTCACTAGTCTATGGCAAAAACTAGAGTGATAAGCACTAGTAGAACAAGAGTAGCAAAGCAACTAGGGTAGTTGGAATGAGTAAAATCCTCTAGACCAACCAAGCAAAATACTCAGCCTGAAACCCTCCTTGTCTCTCAATCCCGAAGATCCTGTTGGGCCAGTTGGCAACCACCCAACAGCAACACAGCAAAACTGTTGACAAGATGCCTGTCAACGAGATGTGCCCCTCCCACCAATGCAGGCTCATTGTTGCGGCGCCTGCACCACTACACTCGCATCATTGTGATATTCTGGGCTTGTGAGTTGACTGAGTCAAATTGAATTCCATCTTTCGCAAGTCTGTCCGACTTCTTCATCAGCGGCGCCTAAAATGCCCGCAGCCGGCAATGTGTAGAGAAGCCTTTGTGTTGCCCTCTCCAGGCGCCAAGTGCAGTACTCCTCCAACCACGGAAGTCGTAGCTGTTTGGTCTTGCACAACTTGACTATTGAGCTAAAGGGAATTCCATGCTTCCCTACCCATATTGGCAATTACAGTATATATATATATTATATATCATTTATGTGTCTCTCAGTTGCATTTAGAGCATTTTAGAGCATGTTGCATCACTCTATAGGCTCTAAAATAACTGCCCATAGTGAGTCCACATCTGCTCACACATTGCACAAATCTGGTGAAATCTCAGAGCCCACACCTCTGTAGCGTGGAAACGCCGGAAAAGCTTTGATCTCCTCCCTAGCCACCATCGCCAATTCGCCTGGCCATAGCTTCAAAAGCAATGTTGCCATTGCCATGCCAAACTTTGCCGGTTCTGTGCTAAGACATGCAACGGTGTCGTGTGCTCATGCTTGACGATTGAACTTCAGAAATCTAATTATTCACTCCAATGTGGGAGCTCAGCACGACAAAACACATTGGCTGACATAGGATCGTGCATTTTTATGTCAACTTAGAAACCTTGCAGGAACCCCACCAGCATTGTCAGCAACTGTGCGAAGCTGTCTTGCGTTTAGACTTGGCTAGAAAAAATCCACCTTGCTCTCCATCTAGGTGCCCGTGTTGCGACGGCTCCGCCGATTGCACCACAGCAATGCTCGCGACGTGTTGCCCACTCACACTTGCAAAGTTGTAAACATGTTGTTGTTCAAATTCTTTGCCTGATGCTCGGCAAACAAATTGGCAGGTTCTGATGGCCACAAACAAGTTGTGGAGAAATGCGGCCTGCTCAGGAAAAAGGTCGACTAAGCGACTATGGTGTTCATTCACTTTACGCACAAACCTCTTTTGATTCAGCTTGTCGCATGCTGAGCCCTTTCTGCAGCACACCAGTAAAAGCTTTTCCGTTAAGTCTGCTGCAGTCAAAGACATGCGCAAAGTATGACATTGTACTTTCCGGTCTCTTCAGTGTGTTTGAAAGCTGTAGTTCAAGTCCGAGTCCGGGACAATGAATTAAGTTTAGACTCTTTTTTTGGGGGGGTATATAGTAGTAGGGTAGGTAGGTAGTAGCTAGGTAAGTAACTAGTGGGGAGAGGTAGCTAGTAGCTTAAGTAGCTACTAGCATGGACGCTGGATAGCTCACACACTATCCATTTAGTTCCTAGATTTTTAGGGAAACTTAAGTCCAATCGTCTGGGACGGTCATAAGTCAAAGTCTTTGATAAACGGCCCTCCGAGGCAACCGCCGAGAGCATCGGACTGCGCCTACGACATGTGAAAGAAGCAACAACAATGTGGCCACCAAACGTGCAAGCGCAAAATATGCTTGACGTTGAGCAATCTGAAACTCTTGTATGTCTTATAGGTTAATCAATGCATTCCGCGTTCAAACAAACTAACTATATATATGTACTTATATATGTATAGAATTGGGCCAATGTTGCAGTTTCAACATGTTCAACTTGAGGCCAGGAGCAGCAGTAAACTAAAAGATCAGATGTGCTTCAACGGAACACAACGGTTTCAAACAGCGACAGCAAGGCAACAAAGATTGAGCCCCATCTCCAGTTGCCACCCCAAACAGCAATTTTAACGGGCCGGCCCATCGAGAAGAGAAACAATGAAATACTAACATAATTCTAGTTAAAAGTCCAACCAATATCGATCTAAACCCAAATCCCTGTGTTGGAGCTTCAAAAGTTCGGCAGTCTCTTTTGTGCAATGTCACTGCTGTACACTGAACACAATTCGCGCAGTGCTTTTGCAGGAAAAGCCCAGCGCCGGTGGCCACCACGACAGCTAGCTGTAGAACAGTGTGCAAGACTGTCATGGACTTGCTGCTTGCTAGTGTCTGATTTCTGATTTCTCCATATTTCTCCCTCTTCTATGCAGCACTGACGTGGATTCGACCTGTGACACACACACCATCGCCGCCGGTTGCCGCATGGCCTAGGTGGTCCGGGTCCGGAGCTCCCAACGACTCGAACGACCGTTGTCATCACCGCATCTATCTGCATCCTAGGCCAGGCAGGTCAAGCTCTGACAAGCCATCTCGCAAGGCAGGGCGACTTTGGCCAATGCTCCGCGGTCAGCTACAGCGCTGAGCCATGAGCTGGTCGCGAGGCATGTGTGTCGCACTGATCGCTATGAGGCCATTACCAAGCAATAAAGCCGAGATGACCGCAAATTGATCTGAAGAAGCATGCAGTCAAACAAGGTAAGACCAAAGCAATTGCAATCCCACAAACCTCATGTCGGCAAAAGTCCTCTAGGAGCCCAGTATTCGAGCGTTGGATTACTGATCCACATCTGACAGACTTCATTTTTGGAATGGCTGCGTGCGCAACCTTGTGGCCGCTTTTAAGAGCTCGCATCCAGGGTGGTCCTGGTCCTTCTTCGATGGATCAAGGACACCCACTGGACAACATGATCGAAGGTCAAAAACATAACAGCGATGACATCATGGTACTCTCCAAGGTCTACCTGCAAATAGATCCAAAACGTGTCTTAGCTGGATTTGATGTGCAACATGCTCCTCGACTGCTCCGCAAAATTCACCAGTTTCTGGCACAGTATTTGGCGGAAGCAAAATGTGGAGCAACTGTCAACCGCTTCCACTAGCTGCCAGCTTGGGAGGTCATTCCGTCTTTTAGACGGCGCTCTTCGGACTCGGTGGCCTTCATGTCCTCGAGGCACAGGACACCAGCTAGGATGGCCAGCACCGGGTGTCCACCTTCTTTTTCTTCCTTCCTGTCGTTAGTATTTGCCATTACTAAAGACTGTTTGAGGCACATGTTGAGCCAGAAAGCACACACACACATATGGATATATATATAATGTATAGCATGTAATCAAACATAAGTGTGTACCAATGATTATATAGTCGACGCATTCTCGTGATGTCACCAAGATTCATAAAGTACAAACACATATAATATATATATATGTTATATATATATATATCAAAGCATGAAATCAAAACGGCCAGAAACCTGAAGGGACCACAACCGCTCAGGCGCGATAGACGTCGCAACGAAGTGGACCAAGGAGCCCAGTCCACGCGGTAGAGGATGATGGCAAGGGCACAAGTTGCCAAGCCGGTGCCAACAACCATCGACCACCACATGCCATACACATCCATTTTGAGCGGCCTAGGGTAACTACACTCATCTCTGAGCCGTAACAGTGGTGATTTCACCACTATTGCTCACCTATGCTACAATGATCTCGCAGCTTCGCTCTGTGCTGCTCCTGTGCAAAGCTTCTGCTGTAAACGCAAAGGCGGAGAATGCCTCCAGTCATCCGAGTGCTGCCTGGCTACCACACCATGTAGCAGCCCAATGGAAGCATGATCAAGTAGTAGCCTTGCTTGTTTATCAACAAGTTCTGGCAACATAAACATAGGCACTTCCACCCCGCTACATTTACTGTATGTCCAGCTATTAGTTGGCCAACCTTTTCTACTAGAATTCTATGGGGACGGAAAACTAATTAGGCTGCCCAATGTGCATGCTTTGGGGTTTAGTACTGCTTTGCCCTCCTGAAGTATGCTCCCCTTTTCAATACATGCACTCAATATAAAGGCACGCAAACTTGTACATAAGTGGACAGTGGAAATACCATAATATGTCATACTGATGCCGCAGCAGGGAGTGACATCATAGACTTGAAGTCCAGGAGCAAACCAAATAAACTGCGGCAGGCAATTTATTGATGCCGACTCCACGCAAGGCGCCACCAATGACGTTCTGGATGTTGTCGAAATACCCGGCCACACAGTAGATCTTGATGAGTTGCACCTATAGGTGTGACCAGTATAATCACAAATGACCAATCTAAACATATTGTACAGTATCTAAACTGCCACTATTGTGTGGCCAGTCAGTTCTTGAATCTAGAATCCGAAGTGAAAGTTCACTGTTCGCACAGTCCTTTGTTACGGGACCACTGGTATCCCAAATGTCCTAGCAGCAATTGCAGTGGCTGAACTTTACACTCCAAACTGTGGATTGAAAAGGGCCACTCTTGTAATATATGCTACAGTCTAGTAGTCTAGTTGTGGAACTCAACTTCGCACAAAAAACTAGAACAGCAACCATGCTCCAGCATCTTGAAGTGCTGAGCACCGAAATTTGACTCAACGCGTGTTGAGCACCGAAGCAACATCCTGCTGCCGAAGGGCTGTGATAGCTTGCACATCTGGGTCAGCCGTGAGGAGTACCACAACGTACTTGACACCCGTCAAAAGAATGATCGCTAGAACCGTCCACCTCAGCGAGCAAACACTCTGTGGACCTCATAATGAATTAAGGGATTTTAAGGGAAATAAGTGCCACGCTACTAGTAACAAGTGCCTTACTAGTAGTAACAAGAAGCTATTAGAAACAAGTGCCACGCTACTAGTAACAAGTGCCTTACTAGTAGTAACAAGAGGCACCTGTAGGTCTGTTGGGTGAGGAGGGGTGAGATGTTTCGTCATACGTTCAGGTGCAGCCACTAGTAACAAAGTCAAGTGCAACACTTTCAGCAAAAGCATGCGCTTGGGATTCCAAATGGCGCCTTTGTTGTTCACGTGCTACGGACTCTAAGATTGCTGATTGAAAGGCGAAGGAAAACGACGGATTGATTTTGAAACAACGGATTACCAATGAGTGTGAGAGAAGTCTCCAATACCTCCAATACATAGTCGTTCGTTCGGTTGGACGCTAGGTGCTAGAAAGCCACAGGAGAAAATCCATGCCAGTGGCTGTCCAAGCAGCCTGACGGCTCCTAAGTCTTCTGACACTGAGTATGTTTGATAATGCTGACAATGCTCCTTACAATAAGCTGAGCTGGTGATCTTCCATGGCCAATGTCAGCGGTAAGAAAAGTAGAAAGTATATGAATGTATAGACCCTTAGGGTTAATTACGGCTCGGGACTTTTGCTGGTAAAGGCTCTTTTTCGGGCGCATTTCACCGATGCTGTTTCCGACCTCAGTTTGACAAACTCAAGCACATCTGCAATGGAGAAGTCTACTGAAAAAAACATGATGTTGGAATCACGTGAATCCATATTTCAAATGGAGCTCAAAAAGTGAGGTCCAAGCGTGTTAATTCATCTACTGTGGCTGCATACGTCCATACACAGGTAATGACCCTCCACACATTTCCGAAATCCCTTCCCCGTTGCGCTGCTTCCATGACACCCAGTCTTGCATGGCAAGTCACAACTGTTGAAGCTGCATTGGACAGCGCCCTAAGCTGATAAATTCTTGACTTGTTGCTATTTAATACCTTTGCAGTACATCCATGAACAGGCATCGACATCAAGCTGACAATCACTTGTTGTTTTACTTGTGTTTCAAGCAAGAGTCTCCTCAAGAGCCCGGAGCCCTAGTTCTATTCCATGCTGTTCAACCGTCTTAAGCGGCAGCCGGCAGCAGCACCAAAATTATAAGTGTACACATACGGTTGAGATAATACAGCAGCACAATATAGCACAATAAGTGAAAAGCAATGAGAAAACAGTTCGCGGAGGACATAATTGCACCCTACTCTACACACTGTCTTTAGTTGCCGCCGTCGATGTTGCAAAGCAGCTGGTCAGCAAGCCCGTTCAAGCAAGCCACACAGTGGGCATGAAAAGCAAGGCCACCAAATTGATTGTTGTAACATGCCCAGCCAAAGGCGTAGGTCCCAAGAAGCCGATGATCAAGGCGCAAATCTCCCAAAACCACCTGAGAGATTTAACATACTGAGAAAACATACAGCCTGAAAAACTTTGCTAAGGGACAGTTCTCGCAATCCATCTTATTGAGTAGTACGGTACAACATCTCTAACTACGAGTAATGTGTACATCGAAATGTAGATATACACAGTATAAACTATATATAGACGATGGGACCGCATCACGATTCTACTAGCAGCTAAGGTTGCCAACTAAGCGGCCATTCACCACACATCTGCAGCGTGCCAGGGATACCAATCGCAAGAAACGTCCTCCATCCTTGAAAGCCTTCCTGCCATGAAGCATGAGTGGCTCGGCTCGAATGCAACATTCTGATTCACAACCAGCCCGAAGAGTGTCCGTCAACCACGACAGACCCTTGGTTGATAAACAACCCTTGAAGAGTGCTTATTATTATGCAAAGCACAGGGTCCGCGGGGAGCAGCCCAAGGTGGCTCACACAGCGTTTGTTAAAGGCGCTTTCGACGATTTTAAGCCTGGCCGCGTTTCTCAAGAGGATCTGTATGGAAACACCCCGATCCCAATGAGCCACTGAGCCAGGTTCCAATCCAGCTGACAAAATCCCGAAAATTCTCGGCACTATTATTTTTCTTGCTCCATCTGAGCAGAAGTTGTCAACTTATGTCACCTTCACCAGGAAGGTCCACATCACACTCACCCTCATGAGCCATGGTAGTTACACCCACCTGAGCTACACTGGCTTGACTTGGGCAGCACAAGAGCCAAAGCCTCCGCAGTCTTTTAGTGGTGGTGGTGGTGGTGGTGGTGTGGGTTTGACTTGGGTTTTTTGGTCTTACCTTTTGGAATTCTATTGAGTTTCCTGTAGGTTTTCTATGGGCCTGATGATTTCCCACACCAACCCATCAAAACCCCAACCAAACCCCAGACCACCCCAACCAAATGCCAATCAAATCCCGAAAATGGGCTGATGACAAACAATAGGAACCCTATTGAATCCCACCTCATCCCAGCAAAACCCCAACCATATCCAAAAAATTGGCTGAGGTCAAACATAAAATCCAATTCAGCCGACCATGTCAACCCTACACAAATCCCACAAAAACTGTATGGGATTCCATCAGCGTATTTAAAATAACTTTAAGCTTTTCCAGGGTTTTATACTGTTTTAGTAGGATTTTTGTCGGGCAATTTTTATGTCAAGAAAACCTCTAACAAGAACACCCTACAAGCCACCTTACGTCTATTTTGAGATTTGACTCGTGAACACACGATATCTCATGTCAAGAAAACCTCTAACAAGAACACCCTACAAGCCACCTTACGTCTATTTTGAGATTTGACTCGTGAACACACGATATCTCAGTCTCGCCTTCTGAACTCCAAGCAATTTCCAAGCGTTGCCACCCAAGCTGGAGGACTTGCAAACGAGAACCACTGCGCCTGACAGCATCTGATTGAAGCTCATTGAGTAGCCATTCTGTGACATGAGATGCAGTGACCGCAATCCTATACTTGTAGACTTGCTACGAGTTGTTCACAATTAATTGCATACCATCACATATGGCCCGGCTTTAGCAGTCAAGTTACGTTGTGTTTACATTCTGCTGGATGATGGGTGATCAAATGTGCCCAGTGCTAGCATGTGCCCAGCGATTTGCACATATTCCCACTACAAACAGCTCCGAATCATGCTGAGCTTGGAGAGACACAATTTACCAAAGCCAGCCCCGAACCAAATGGTCGCGCTTGTTATTTCGCTCAGTGTGGGCCGCTCATGTTATGAAATCTACCACTGCCCTGCTTAAACTTAAATGTTGACCAATTCATGATATTGTGGCTACTTCAAAGTATATATGTAGTACAAAGATGTACAAAGTACAGTACGTATACATTTCTCGCCGCGATATGTCTGTTGCGATGTTGCTTTGCTTTATGCTTGGGGTACTCAATGCTCAAGCAAGGGTGCAAATAACTATACGTGACACTGATAATCGGAAAATGTCAGAAACGTGTTCGTAAGTTTTTACGACGTGGCATGACCATCCACTGTGCCGCCTATGACATCCAAAAACCTCTCAGCTCCAGGTGGTTTGTGCCGCCTGAGAGGCACTGCAAAGTCCAAGTGGTGAAGTTTGCCAGTCCGGCACCTTCATTCCCTAAGTCGCAGACCACGATGAACAAGACGGCCCATGCGATGTGCAAAGTACCTGCAGTCTCCACAGCAAACCCAAAAAAGTGCAGCCAATCAATGGGAGCTGAACTGCCAGTTTTTCTGCAGAAACTACATTCCTCACACCTGAAGTGTGCAAACACGTCGTCGGCATAATAAAAATGTATTGCATGGGTTCTTTATGATTCATAAATTCAATTTTATGAATTATCTGATGAATATGATATCTTGTCTACTATCTTGTCTGACATGTTACGTCATTTTACAGTGCAAAGTTTGTTGAGGCAAGGTACTAGTCACACCAGCGATCCATGCGGCCGCATTGGGCATGTTCTTGTTCCGCATGAAGCTCAGTGTGTTCCTAATATGGAACAATTCGCCCATGTCCGCTGCGACTGATTCTGAGATTCTGCGTTGAAATGTACGAAAGCCGGCAATCAAGTCTCTGGTGCTGGAAAAGGAAAAACAAGCCAAAGGCGGCAGCCCGATTGTATGAGCACGCATGCCTTGCAACATCCTTGTGCTGCCCAACAGCCTCTGGCACAAATCACAAATGTCACAAGCACATCGCCTATGGACCTATGGCTACTTCAGCAATCACATCAAACTGACTGCTTGACCCGATGAGGATTGCAGAATGATAACAGGGTACATCGCATCACAGCCTACAAACTTTCTGCAGATAGTTCTCCGTGTCTGCCTGTATGTTTCTGGAGCTGAGCTGCTATCAGCAAATCCTCACTAAACCAAAGTATTGGGAACATCCACAGAAGCTGCAGAGTGAGGATCACCCTGGCCGGCAGCAACCACAAAAACAAGCAAATCATGTCTGGAAGAACCCGGGGCCAGGGGACTCTTTGATCATCAGTCAAACTTACTTTGTCACGTTGGCGTCTGTGAATTGTGCTCAGGAATCCTGCATGCAACCCTGTCTCTTGTTCGCATTTCATGGCAACCATGCATGCTTCAACTATGTTGTATGGTGCGGGCCGAAGTCACAAGCAAACATCAACATGTGCGCTGCATGTGGAATCGGGAGGCTCCTGCTTCGTTGCAAGTAGTGTATGCCTTGGCATGGGATGACAAAGCTTCACGGTAAACATTCATGGGCCTTCACACATTTTGCAGCAACCGAAAATAGGCAAATTTAAGTCCTCCCGAATGAACACAATTATATACATACATTATATTTATTATCATAATAATAGTATAATATATATTTACAAAGTAATATATTATAGTATATCTTGCTTGAGCATTGTTGAGCATTGCAGGAAAACTGTTGTCACTGCTAACCTGGATCCAGGTGTCATAGGTTGTGTTCTCCTGCTCCATGAGCTTGACTCACGAGCGTATCCAAGGCTGTGCTGAGGCCAAACGCAATGCTGAGACCAAAGCAATTCCTGGGCAATGTGTAGCTGACAAGTCTCAATACACATTTAGGGTGTCTCTTTGATTGATGGTCCTCTTGGATATTGTGCCCAAGATGGAAACACGAGCAGCTCAGCAACTACAGTAATTTGGCTGACTGGAGACATTCAAATTCGGACATTAATGCGGTGGGAGCCCCTAGTAGCGTCCTTGCTCCTAGTAGTACGGCCAGGAGGGTACATGACCGCTGGCGGCTGCATCTAGGGTTTAGGTCTTCGCTGCATTACCTGCATTATTTGGAGGGAGGGGCAAGCATGTGCAGCGCTTGCTGCTGTACAAACACTTTTCGTGTCTTTTCTTGTCCCATCTTTCTTCTGTCATGATGTTGGGACGTGCTCCCACTTTGGCTCCTTACTGAGGCCCTGTTGAGGCCAATCCATGTGGACTCATGACTCCAAACCTTTCTACTTTTCCATAGAGATCTAGATAGGCAAATGTGGTCCAGCTGCGTGCACTAGTCTAGTGGGATCAATGGTCTTGTGTTTGTTTTTCGAGTACTTACCTGTGGGAGTGGCTTTGATAGTCCTTGCCTAGTGTTTGGTCCATTGTGGAGCTGGGTTGTCTTGGTCTAGTCTCCGTTGCCCACGAACATGCTGAAGTTGAGGAGCATTTGGTACCCTTCAAGCTGGCGGTCTCCGTAGCTATACATCGTTGAGGATTGTTTCTAGGGCACCGCCATCTGCAAGCACATTTTCCACAGCCACAAATTGTCGTCTATCCAGGTTTACAGGGGTTTACAGGTTTAAGGGTGGCTCCAAACCGCCGCCAGCCGGGTGGAGAAACTACGGCTGGCAGCTGTTGCCCATGCGCGGCTTCCGGCCAAAGATTCCAAAGATCTACAGTACTGAATCTAATGAAGCCCATCTTTTGGTTTCGTAGCAGGCAAATAATTGGTTCATGGGTGTCACCACTGGCTATGTGGTTTCAGGATTCTCCGACAAATGCCTAGGCACTGCATCATGTTTCCCAAGCCAACCGCCGCCAACTCTGCATCATTCCCCACGTGGCCGAGACAAACGGTGTTTGTAAACTCATTGAGCCTCAGGCACCAAGCAGGTGAAGCAAGCTTCTTTTGGTACTACAGAAGCGAAAACCTAGCCAACAATATCAGCATATACCAGCTGACATCCCTGGAATGGCATGCTTAGACAGCCGCGGGTATGCTTCATACTTCCGGTACAAGCGGCAGCGTTAAGAAGTTGGAGAACATCCTTAGTCAACGGGTGAGACCTCAAGTGGCACAAAAGAAACGACGGGCAGCATTCCGCCCAAGACCTTTCGTCTGGGTTCTATACAAGTGACTAAACAAGAGATGTCGAGGCTGAGCCTCCTACTGATGACATCTAATGAATCTAATGACAATTGCTCCAACGTGAGGATTGACACCCAGTTCTGAACAAGTCTTGAACATGTTGTCAACTTCGAACAGCTGGAATTGGAACCTAACCTGCCTAATCAATCGAATATCTGCAGTAGGATGCAGCTGCTTGCTGTTGCGGATTTTAAGGAGTATGAGTATCATGTAGCATCATACATCGACAACTACAGCATCACATCTGAACTAAGCTACGTAGGCAAGGCGATCTTCATCAGTTCCAGTGCTGTCTGCCGAACCCGAGGCAAGGCCTCCCCATTGAATGGCTCCCGAGCATTGGACGCGCCAGTTGAAAAGGCATCAACCGACATTGTGGCGCGGCCCCTTTCAATCCGAGAAGCTCCTAAGCAATGATGTCCAAGCCCAAAGCGGCCGCGGGAGACCATGGATGATGAATGATGCTTTCCAAACCAAGCCACTAGAAAAATGTGTATGCTAAAGCAAAGCAGGACAAGAACCACAAGCACTGGCTGGAGCCAATTAGTTTGCCCAAACCAAGCACGGCCTTTGGTGATTTCTTGTTCTTCTTCTTGCGGCTTCCCTGGTTTGTCGAAACAGTCAGAAACTAAAAGAAGGTTTATCACTTCCGGTCCTTCGACATGCTTCCGTCAATCAAGCCATCTGGTTGAATACCAGCAAAGCTTGACCCGGCTTAAACTCAAACTCAATTAGCCTGTGTCAAAGTGCCACACTCATGAAGTCATGAAGTTCAGGAAGGGTGAAGCATCTCCGTTGTCCCCACAGTGATAACTTTGCTCCTTGTGTCAACGCTTAAGCATGTTTTAACTTTCTGCTCCTGTCTTTCTGCTCATGTATGGCTCGGAGGGCTTCCATAGGCAGCTCTAGAAGTTGACCCGTCTCAGAAAAAGACGGAGAACATCTTGCATATGATATCACATAATTATGTATAATATACATATATATATAATATGTTCATATTATATATACACTTGTTTTTTCAACCTTTTCCTTGGTTGGCGAAGGCGGTGAGCTCATCCAGTCTCCCGAACCCTTCCCGACCACCTGTGACTTGGGTGTTTCTGACTGAGGTTCCTTGGTCCATGTCAGTCGGAGTGCAAGTTGAGGTGCGTTGGAACGGTGCAGCATTTAGCAACTTAATGCGTTCTTTCGTTTCCTTGGCTTCCTGAACATGAAGTTTGCTAGTAGCTTCTTGCTCCTAGCAGTAAGGCCAGGAGCCCCTAGTAGCGTCCTTGCTCCTAGTAGCGATGCCCTTAAGCACGGTGCAGCGTCTGCAGCATTTTGCAGCTGCTTTTCACTGCCAGTGCAGTGCAGATTGCTGTTCAAAGAGCGTATCATTAGCCGTTTTTGCAAGTGCCCGACATTCAATGGCTCCAGTCTGGCCTTGGCAAGCAGGCTTTGAAGGAAGTGACTTGTCTATCAGGACTGACCACGGAAGGGGTATGATGGGTTCGCGCGGATGTTTTGGAACTCCCTCACTGTATCACAGCTTGGTGCACTGCCCAAGATGAAGCCGTTCCTCCATGCCAAGTCTTGGCCTCGTTTGTCTGGCAGTTGGCATCAATCATGAGTCTTGACAATTATGCCTCACAGCAGGAAAGCTTGGCTGCCTTGGAGACAATTTCATTCACTCTTTTTTTTGGCATCCACTCTGGCTATTGGGTGACTGGGATGCTTTCATTCAACCTTCCCAGAAAATTGGTGCACCTCCCATGGCTTTCATTGATTGATCAAAAAAGCAACGAGTGCCTTGTTTCAAGTTTCAATTTCAAGACTTCAAAAACGACATTAAAAAACACAATGTACCTCAAACATCGAATCCAATACCGAACTTAGCCCGCGACCATATCTGGGGCAGAGGCACTGTGATCTTAGTTGGCAAGAATCTCTCAACGCACTCCTCCTCAACCCCATCATCTTCATGTATTAGCATGTATTAGCTAGCTTTCTGGAGGATAGCCCAAAGTGTTGTCAAATTTAAGCATATAGCCCGTGCTTGTTACTTGCTCCAAGGCCAACACCGAAGTGACAAGTGACATATATTAATCTCAAATGCCAAACAGGTTTCAAGGGTCTTCCAAATTGTTGGACACACCAAGTAAACACAAGCTGTGTCTAGGTGCCCACTTCTTAGCAACCTGATTTGGATTTCTGGGCACCCAACTCAGCACACGGGGTGCAGCTCCTCAGCAATGATTCCGCGAATACCCAACAGGAGAATGACAACATTTCATCAACGTATATCAATATGTTCCACCGACACATGTTGACCTACTGGAATCGTGATGAATCGTGTAGGACTAGACCTTTATCAGTCAAACCAACTCCCAAAAACTTTAATGTCGCTTGGTTTCATCTAGCTCATTTGGTGCATTCCTGGAAGCCCGTCTTTCGATGCCTGAACCGATGCCCCTCTTTATCGCATCCTGCAGATCTGAGCTGCCGACCTGACTTTTTCACCTGCAAACATCGCACCAAGCGGGTGCATCGAACGAATTCGCGGAGACAGTAGCAAGTTCTTCTGCCGCAACTAGCTAAAATCTCGTCCAGCCTCCGGTGTCGTGGCCGACCTGGACAAACGCAGCGTTTATGTCAAAGAAACAATTCATAAAGGCTCTAGTCGAGGACAAATCACACGGAATACTTAAACTAAGCTACAACAATTGGTCTTCTAAGCCCCTTGCACCACTTTTCCTAGTACGGTTTCAGTGTTCACGACCGAGCCTACTGTTTGCGAAGGCTTCACAAGTCACATGCTCTGCAGCGGAATTCTTGCAATCCCCAACTATCAAGCCTTCCCCTCTCGTGCGTCAAAGCCTCCCGCCCTGCCTGCCAGTACTAGCCTGCAACTCACAAAAAATGAACCCACCTCTAAATAGCTATGGCAGCAAGTAGTCTAGCAGTCTGCAATCATATACACATATAGTTGCTTCTCATGTTGTTGTAGGCCATCAAAACATATTTGACAGCAAGAAGCCCAAGTTGCCTCGGAAGGATTCGGCAAAGGAGGAAGTCCTGACGTTAGGCGAGGGCCCTATTGACCGTACGAAGCTTCCAAAGGGGCAGAATAAACGAGGTCACCAGCCAAGAGAGAATCGTAGAAAATATGGTCACTCTTCTCAAGATCCAACTCAATTGAAGTGACAGAAAGCCTGGAAACTGCTAGCTACCAAGCACGTGACTACAAAATTCAGCATGTAATATAATGTAATTGACATGAACTGATTGTGTCAGTATAGATATGTATCGATGCTCCTTCACCCCCATGGAACTGAAAAAACAAATCCTTTCTCCGAGCCTTCAGGCTTCAAACTACCTGGAGGTGCGCCACCACAACTAATTATTTTTGCGTACTGATGTGGAAAGAAGAAACATTGCCGTCGCTTTGAGCAATCGTCTTTGTTTAAACTGCTCGTTTATACAGCATGTTATTACTTACTTGTTGGATCTTAAATGGTACGAGCAATGTATGTTTATCTCAGCGGGGCTTTCTGACATTTTCGCGTAGCGGCTGCAGCTCTCTTTAAAGGTCATCTTCCGACCTTTGCTGCCTGCAAACCTTGACATGTACAGGAGAGAAGGCATTGAATCTCGTTCAACTTGTCCTTATCACCTGTCATCTCGCTTCTGCGTGATTCTGGCCTCTCCTTTTGCAAAGACATGCCAGCACAAAATGGGCTCATGCCCGATGCCCCTTTGAGGCCTATGAGATTTGGCCCCTTTGAAACTGCAATGGTGTCTTGCACAGTGAGTCGACAGGTCAAAGGGTCTGAAAAGGGAAATGCTATGCAAAGGCAATCAAATGAAATGGACAACGGGTTTGGAAACTCTATACTGTATATATACCTTGCTGGTGAACACAGCACGGATATGTGCAACCCTTGAAGTTTCATGCATGTGGTCACCCCGTCCGTGAGTGCAGGAGGTAGGCAAACAGCTCTACATAGCTCTACTGGTACAAGCTTGGCATTGGCGCCGCAAGGGATCATTGGCGGTATGCTTTGCATTTGCAGAGTTGGATTTGGATGTGGTCACTCAATGGCCGCACAAAAGCAAGTGAGACCTTACAAAACAATGAACAACCAAGCAAGAAAAGACCTTAGTATATTTTAGGATTGCATGATGATCTCAGCCTAAGATACTTGAGAACTTCTTGGCGGCAGTTCCTTGAAAGGGTTCCCGGCATTTGTGCCGGATCTTGTCCTGCGCCAGGACTCTAACCGCAATTAGTAGCTATGGTGTTCGTGATGGATGGAATGCGCTGACTCCACCGACCACAAGCTTCAAAAATAGCAGCAGCTTGTGCTCCAAGGGCGTGTGTTCATTCCCTGATGATGGGGAAGAGTGACAGCAGGCTCAGCAATTCCCCAGAATCGACCAATCCAACTTATAACGTACATAAGTTTCAAACCAGGTTTGATTCAGCGTGAAAAGGTCTTTAAACAACAATCTTAAATGTGCTCGGACTGCTGCTCTGGGTACACCACCCAGCCAGGCCAAAGTACGACAAAGCTGATTTTCTGTCAACCAATCCATTGCAAGAAAGCACCCACAGAAGCAACTAGAATGTTGTAAGCTTGCAGTTCTTATAAGGGTTGCAAACAAAGATGCTCCTCTTTTTTCCCTCTTGTTTGTGGACGCTGAGTCTACACAGGGATGTAGGGTGAGTGGCCTTGGTAGATTATTGCATGTTGGGACTTGTGAAGTAAGCACATTCCGTATATAATTCCATTGCCTACATGAGTTGGTATGAGCACATGTGGCACTTGGACTTGAGGCTTGACTTCTCTACAAGCCGAATGCAAGTAATGGGTGTCAAAGTGTCAACACAATAAATTTCGTATCGGTTGTGGGCTACGCGGCTACCCAATTGCCATCCAAGTCAGTCACACGCTCAGTCTTCCCGGTTGTGATGTCATGTTGACTTCTATGTTCATAATCCGGAGGGGATTCTGAATGAATGCGTGACGTAAAGCCCTCGCAACCCCATGTCTTCTCTGCTGTGGTTTTCACTGATGAATGTACGTCCTACGGATTGGCAAGCGGCACAAGTATGTCAATATTGTACCGTCCGCGCACTTGCACTGTTCATAGTTGTCACCACATGAGGGTTGAGAACTCATGAAATTTCAGTATCATTCTGTAGCATGCTGCAACCGAGACTCTACTAAGAAACATGGCACAAGCTGTGTCTGTCAAGCGCACACATTAACGAAGCAATGCAATTTTCAGCACTGCCCCGCACAGACCTCCCGAACCGATCTCCGAAAAACGTTTGCTATCAAACCACAAACTTGACCAGAACACATACATATAATAGCACAATCGTGCGTCCCACAACACATAGGTTTGTGAGTGACAATATG